TAAAATATTTTTTGATTTCACTCACAGTTTTTGATCGACCCATTTCCAAGGGATACTGTGCAATGTGGATTTCAGGATAAGCACCTCCATCACCAAAGTCTTCTGGTCTTTTTGGTTTCCATCCCAATCGGTTTCTATATGATGGTGGTTGAGATCTATCAAGTTTTGTAGTTACTAAATCCTCATATTTACGATCGGTTTTGCTTGGTTCTGAATTTAATAATTTTCCTTGTGGTTTTGGTAAAATGCTATTGCATGCCAGACAATCAATTAAAATTATAAACAATTTCACTGGGATCTATTAAATAATTTTTTTTAAAAAAATATAATTTTTTTTTTTACCTTGTAAGGGTTGACATTGTAGAGGTTTAGGGAATTTTTTATTAAAGTTAAAATTACAAATTAAAACACATTGTATTATTATTAATATATATTATATCACAAAGAAATTTCAGGGATCAAAATTTAGTAACAGTATTTTTTCATATTACTATTACTGTATTAATATACACATTAACATGGTTTCGTTGTTTTTATTAATTAATTACTTATATAATAATAAAATTCTGTGATTTTCGTGAAAGATATCGAAACCTTCTTGGTCAATATATATATATGCCTTTGTAATTATAACTCCCATTAGTATTCTTATTCATATCTCTAACCCCATATTCGAATATTCGCATCCGTAATAGTAATAATTTGACAACGGGACCCCCGAATTATTATAATTGAGGTAACGTCCAAATTTGTCAATTGTTTTCAAAACCAGACAAAGTGAACCTTTGTACCACCAAGGATTTCAGGGATCGAATTTAGTCATCACCAACGTAATATATAGTGTAATTATTAACGATTTTATAATGTCCCATTTTGTTTTTCTTATAAAATCATTCATGTTGTCAATATGCTTGATCACACAATAAAGAAATGGGTATTGAAACTAACAACAACCGAATAATTATAAGGAATGCTATACGTTTTTGATTCAAATGGTTCGTTGTGCAAAAAATGATGGAATGACTAAAGATAAATGCATTTCATTGATTTTCTTACTAAGTTATCAAGTTTACCAGAAGTCTCTTTTATAGATTTGTCAAATTACTTAATATGTCAGGCGGAAATGAAATATCGTAATTAATACCATAAATTTCTGCCTTAATTAAATCAAAAAAAAAGCAATATATATATAAAAACTATATAAAATAAAAATTGTATCAGAGCTTTCAACTAAAGAGACACAAACATGAAACTAAGGGTAATTATAGTAAATATATCAAAATTTTAGTCTATAGAGAGTTTTTCTTGCCAAATAAAAAAAATTTTTTTTATATATTGTAAGGAAATTGAAAAAAGTTTGCTAATAGAAAAACTTTACAACCAAATGAGATATGGCAAAAAACTCTCTATAGATTTATTATAGAAGACATAAGCAATAAAACCATAAAAAATTTTGTATAATTTTATTATGAAAAAAAAAAAATTTATCCATAGATTGATAGAAATTTTCTTTTTATAATTCATGTTTTCAAAAAATATATATACTTGGTTGAATTTTGTTGTCAACATTTACATGTGTTGGAATACATGACGTAATAATTTATTATATTGATGTAACATATTACATCGCTTCGAATGCGAACAAGTTGCTATCAGATATTGAATTAATATTAGCCTTCAATAAAGTAATTGACTTTTCATGTTTGAAATATGAGTATAACTTATGGATGAATCCGGACTAGTCAAATGCAATGAAAATTTAATATCAAACTGGAATGACAACAAATTGCAATGATCATGAGCAAAATCAAAAAAGTTCTTTTTGTAATACAAAAGTATTAAGAACTATCGAATAATAAAGTTATTACTATAGTGCAAGTCACTTAGTCGCTGAACTTTTTATTGGCTGTGTAGATCCTATATCCTCTCCAAAAATGGAAATGTATGACCCAAAAAACAAATCATAGAATTAAAGCTAAGACCTTTCTCTACAATTCTATGATTTCATTTTGTTGATATGTCACGTTACCATAGAGGAGTGACACATCAAAGTTCTCAAAGTTTCACGAGTTTACTATGTTAACCCCCAAAAATTGCGTGTTACACGCAATTTTTTTATATTAAAAATGAACGAATTGGATGAATTGAAATTTTTGAAATTTTGTATGGCCGATCTTTTGTCACGTGATAATAATAATGAGTGGAAAAAAGAGAACGCAATCACTTTGGTCAAGATAATAGCCTATTTGAAACATATAAATAGGACAATTGTTCCATATTTTTTTGTAATACCAATGTAGAAACATTCTCTCGGGCCATTCTAAATTTTCATAGATATTCTTTGGTGTCATATACATATTCGTTTGGAGCATCAAAATTAGCATTGGATGCAAAGCATTCATGATTAATGATGCTATTTTTAATAAAATAACTATTTCATGGCCAAAAAACATATAATGATAAATAGACCAAAAAATTGCAAGGGTTGAGCAAGTATTTGTGATTTGATTTTTACAATGTAATAATGATATACACATGTTTATATGATTTGGATAAAATTCTGCATTTGACAATCTTCAAAAACACGTGACCATACAAATTTTATTGCATTTTTGATTGGAAATTTTTTTCTCAAAAAATGGCGGTGTAGCACAAAAAGTTCAGCAACTAAGTGACTTGCACTATAGTTATCATTCATTTATTATTCGAATTGTTATCTATCATTCGTTTATTATTTGAATTGTTATCATTTGTTTATTATTCGAATTGTTATCATTCCTTATCATTCGAATTGTACTATTCGTTTATTGTTATCATTCGAATTGACATCATTCATTTATTATTATTATTATTATTTGAATTGTTATCATCATTCGTTTATTATTCGAATTGACATCATTCATCTATCATTCAAATTGTTATCATCATTCGTTTATTATTCGAATTGTTATCATCATTCGTTTATCATTCGAATTGACATCATTTGTTTATCATTCGAATTGACACCATTTGTTTATTATTATTATTCGAATTGACATCATTCATTTATTTATTATTTGATTGTTTATTCAAACTATTTGTTTTGCTTGAATTATTCATTTTATTTCATTTATTCGTTTTATTGTTCGAATTGTTGTCATTTGTTTATTCGAACTATTTGTTTATTTATTTTATTCAAACTATTCATTTATTCGTTTTGTTTGAAATATTCGAATTGTTTGTTTTACTCGAATTATTCATTTTATTCAAACTATTCGTTTATTCATTTCGTTTGAAATTTGTTTTATTTGAATTATTCGAATTATTATTATTTGTTTATTTGTTTATTTGTTTTATTTGAATTATTATATTTGTTTAATTTGTCTTTTTTTGAATTATCAAATTATCGAATTATTCATTATTCATTTTATTCAAATGTAATTCAAATACTCAACTTCATAATGAGTAAAACAAATAATTTGAATAAACTCTTATTCAAATAGACTCTAATACTAATCAAGCAGTATAGTTGTATGTAGTGATTTTAATTTAGTTTTCCAGATTTGGTGACTCCAATAACTCTGATTGCATGCTTGCAATATTTATTACAGTTTTATGACTTTAGGGTGTCAATGCTGAATTGTTGTAGTTCAGGTAAAATTTTAATTTTTTTTAGATAAATCTAAATATATTTAATATAGGGTTTCTATTCGAATAAGGTTTATTCGAATTATTCACTTTAATCATTATTAATAACAATTTGAATAATAAACAAATGATAGATAACAATTCGAATAATAAACGAATGATAACTATTCAAATAATAAACAAATGATAACTATTCAAATAATAAACAAATGATAACTATTCAAATAATAAACGAATGATAACAAGTCTAATAAATGAATGATAAAATTCAAATAATAAACGAATGATAACAATTCAAACAAAACGAATGATTTGAATAATTCGAACGAAATTTTTTATTACAAATAGAAACTCAACTCTATTGCAGAGTCACTA